AAATATTATCATATATGATCAGATGCACATAAGCATTGTGCCTTTGTGTTCCTCCCCTAAGAGTATCCTCCTTTGGTCTCACTGTGTATGAATGCTTACATACAGTCCTGTATATTTTATCATGTCCCAGTGTATATTAGATCTAGCTTCTGCATATGAGAGAAAACATGCCATTTGTCTCTGAGTTTGGCTTACCTCACTTAACATGATTTATTCTAGGTCCATCCATTTTATATCCTGCAAAATGACTAATGGCTTTATAAAATTCCATTGTGTATAGCAACATCTTTTGGATCTGCTCATTTATTGTAAGATATTCAGGTTGTTTACATAACTTGGCTATTGTGAATAGTGCAGCAATCAACATGGGTATGTAAGTATCTTTATTGTAGCTTGACTTGTGATGTTGTGAGTAATGCCCAGAAATAGTATGGCTGGGTAGTAGGGTAGATCTATGTTTAGATTTTTTTTTTTTTTGTCAGTTGTGAGGCTTGAACTCAAGGCCCGGGCACTGTCCCTGAGCTTTTTTGCTCAAGGCCAGTGCTCTACCACTTTGAGCCACAGTTCTACTTCAGGTTTTTGAGTGGTTAATTTGGAGATAAGAGTCTCACTGAGATTTCTGCCCAGGCCAGCTTCGAATTATGATACTCAGAACTCAGCCTCCTGGGTAGCTAGGATTACAAGCATGAGTCACCCAGGCCTGGCCTATGTTTAGATTTCTGAAAAACTGCCAGAGTTTTGTCCAGAATGGTTGCACTAGTTTACATTCCCACCAAAAGTGCATAGTGTTACATTATCCCCGCATTCTTGCCAGTATTTGTTGTTGTTCAAATTCATGATGTTGACCAATCTAACTGGGGTGAGATAGAATCTCAGAGTTGTTTTGATTTGCATTTCCTTTATGGCCAGGGATGTTGAGCATTTCCTCATATGTTTCTTTGCTCTTACCTCTTCTGGGCTGGGAATTTGGCCTAGTCGTAGAGTGCTTGCCTAGATAGAATGCATGAAGCCCTGGGTTTGATTCCTCAGTACCACATACACAGAAAAAGCTGGAAGTGGCGCTGTGGCTCAAGTGGAAGAGTGCTATCCTTGAGCTGAAGAGCTGAGGGACAGCGCCCAGGCCCAGAGTTCAGGCCCCATGACCAACCAAAAAAAGAGTCTCATGGGGCTGGGAAGGTGGCTCAGTGGTAGAGCGCTAGACTGAAGGACAGTGCCCAGGCCCAGAGTTCAGGCCCCACGACCAGACCCCCCCCCCCCCCAAAAAAAAAAAAAGTGTCATGGACTTTCCTGCCTGGGCTGCCTTTGAATCGTGATCCTCAGATCTCTTTCTGCCTCCTGAGTAGGTAAGTTTACAGGTATGAGCCATTGGCACTGGGCTAGTTTTTTCATTCCAATCCCAAAATGATGATGGCATTTTTATTCTACTCACTCACCAAGTACAGGTGAATGGTTCATGACACATTCCATCACCAACTTCCCATCTTTCTGTTTTCTTGTGATTGTGCTGATGCTGAATCTATGTGCTGTTGGTGAAGTTACAGACCATCAGAGTTTTCCTGCCATAAGCTGTAGTTTTTTCAAATTGCTCTCCCAGGATACAAGTAAATTTTGTTGTTTTCAAAATTTTATTTTATTTATTTATTTATTTTGTGGATTGTGGGTCCTGAACTCTGGGCCTAGGCACTGTCCCTCAGCTCAAGGCTTGATCTCTACCATTTGAACCACAATACCACTTCCGGCTTTTTCTACCACTTGAGCCACAGTGCCATTTCCAGTTTTCTGGTGGTTAATTGGAGATAAGAGTCTCACAGAGGGGCTAGGAAGGTGGCTTAGTGGTAGAATGCTTGCCTTGCATGCATGAAGCCCTGGGCTCGATTTCTCAGCACCACATAAGCAGAAAAAGCCAGAAGTGGTGCTATGGCTTAAGTGGTAGAGCACTAGCCTTGAGCTGAAGAGCTGAGGGACAGTGCCCAGGCCCAGAATTCAAGCCCCACAACTGACCAAAAAAAAAAGAGTCTCATGGCCTTTCCTGCCCAGGCTGCCTTTGAACCACAATCCTCAGATCTCAGCCTTCTGAGTAGCTAGGATTACAGGCGTGAGCCACCAGTGGCTGCTGCTTCTTCTTTTTTTTTTTTTTGCCAGTCCTGGAGTTGAACTCAGAGCCTGGGCACTGTCCCTGAGCTTCTTGCTCAAGACTAGCACTATACCATTTGAGTCAGCATCACTTCTGGCTTTTTCTGTTTATCTGGTACTGAAGAATCAAACCCAGGGCTTTGTGCATGCTAGGCAAGCACTCTACCACTTAGTCACATTCCCAACTCCTCAATGGTACCTCCTAAAGGATCTTCTGTTATGATTTAATTCTTCTCCAAACAACCTTTGGTTCAGGCCAAAGCTTCAATTTCTTGTTTTTTCTTTTCTTTTTTCTTTTTTTTTGTCAGTCATAGAGCTTGAACTCTGGGCGTGGGCGCTGTCCCTCAGCTCTTTAGCTCAAGGTTAGGGCTCTACTACTTGAGCCACAGCACCACTTCTGGCTTTTTCTGTTTATGTGGTGCTAAGGAATCAAATCCAGGGCCTCATGTATACAAGGCAAACACTCTACCACTGAGTCACCCTCACAGCCCCAATTTCTTCTTTTCTAACTAATCTCTTAGACTCTAAATTTTTACTCTTCTTTTCTCCTTACAAAATCCAGAGTAATTTTTCATTTTATTTTATTTTTTTTGGGTCCGGTTGTGGGGCCTGAACTCTGGGCCTGGGCGCTGTCCCTCAGCTCTTCAGCTCAAAGCTAGCACTCTACCACTTGAGCCACAGCGCTACTTCCAGCTTTTTTCTTTTTGCTTATGTGGTGCTGAGGAATCGAACTCAGGGCCTCAGGCATGCAAGGCAAGTGCTCTACCACTGAGCCACCTTCCCAGCCCCCAAAGTAATTTTTCTAAAAGGCAAATGTTTTGTCAGGATTTTTTTTTGCCAGTTCTGGGGCTTGAACTCACGGCCTGGGCACTATTCCTGAGTCTCTCTGTGCTCAAGGCTAGTGCTCTACCACTTGAGCCACAGTGCTACTTTTGGCTTTTTCTGCTTATGTGGTACTGAGGAATCGAACCCAGGGCTTCATGAATGCTAAGCAAGCACTCTACCACCAAGCTACATTCACAGCCCCTTGTCAGTTTTGAAATTAAAACCTTCCGTAGATTGAGATACCTCAATTACGAATGTAGAAGAGCATGGTGTTTTAAACTTGTAATCCCAGAGTTAGAAAGGTTGATATAGGAGGATTACCAGCTTGAGGACAGTAAGGCCACATAGTGAGACCCTGTCTCCAAAAATAAAATTTAAAAACATACATATACATATATATGATAAATTAATCCTACAGCTATATGATTACTTAAAATATAACCAGGTGCCAATAGATCATTGCTACAATCTTAACTACTAAGGAATCTGAGACCTGAGAATAGGTTCAAAGCCAGCCCAGGTGAGAAAGTCTATGAGACTATTTCCAATTAATCAGCAAAAATGTGGAAGTAAAGCTGTGGTCCAAGTGGTAAAGCACCTGCCTTGAGGAAAAAAAAAAAAAGGGAAAGAAGCCGGGCGCTGGTGGCTCACGCCTGTAATCCTAGCTACTCAGGAGGCTGAGATCTGAGGATCGCGGTTCAAAGCCAGCCCGGGCAGGAAAGACCATGAGACTCCTATCTCCAATAAACCACCAGAAAACCAGAAGTGGCGCTGTAGCTCAAGTGGTAGAGTGCTCGCCTTGAGCTGAAGAGCTGAGGGACAGCACCCAGGCCCAGAGTTCAAGCCCCACGACCGACAAAAAAAAAAAGGGAAAGAGGTATAGAATTCAAGCCCCATTACCTGCACGCACACACACAAACTTGCACACACCCAAAAGCACGCACGCACACAAATTCCTTCTATAATCATGGGTTGGGCTTGAACCGAAGGATTGAATCTGATCAAAATATATCCTATTCATTTATATAAATATCAAAGTTAAATCCTTTCTGTAATATACCCAGAGAGAAGGAGAGAGAGAATGGCACCTGAGCCAAACAAAATGGTTTATTAAAGCTCCAAGTGTGAAGCATGACTGTCACTTGGGAACTTCTTAGAAATGCAGAATTTCAGGCCCCTCTCTAGATTGACAAAACCAGAACCTTCACTTTGTTTGTTTATTTTTGTCAGTTGTGGGACCTGAACTCAGTGCCTGGGCACTGTCTTTGAGCTTTTCTGCTTAAGACTAGCACTCTACTTTGAGACACAGCCCCACTTCTGGTTTTCTGATGGTGATAAAAGTCTCATGGACTTTCCTGCCCAGGCTGGCTATGAACTGCAGTCCTCAGATCACAGACTCCTGAGTAGCTAGGATTATAGGTGTCAGCCACGAGCACCTGGCTACCAGAACCTACATTTTAACAAGGCTTGCAGATTAATCAGGCCCAACCACGTTTAGGAAGCATCTTGTTTGTAAACCCCCAGAGGACCAATCCCTGGCAGACCCTTCACTTTCACTGGCCCTCTGATTTCAAGCTACTGGGAGTGTTTGTGGGTGGCTAAAAACTCCAGCCATCCTTTCAGATACAAACCTTCGGCAACACTTAAAACTCTCTTTTAGCTGGGGGAGCACCAGCGGCTCACGTCCTCACGTTTCAGCGGCTGAGATCTGAGGATGGCAGTTCAAAGACAGCCCCGGCAGCAAAGTCTATGAAACTCTCATCAAGTCCTGTATCTGCAAAAATAAAACAAAAAACAAACGGCTCCCACGTCTCTGAGGCTCTTGAGTCTTCATTCAGCAAACATTTATTGGGCGCCTGCTGAACGCCTGGCCAGGTCAAGCCCAGGACCCGCCCGCCGGGTCGGCGCTGTGTGCGCCGCGCTCGGGTATTTATGATTTCCGCGCGGCTTTTCCACACATTACGGCGCCGCTCGGGCCCCGCGCCCCCGCCGGCCGGGACCCGCGGGCTCCGCTCCGCTCCGCACCGGCGCGGCGACGGGAAGGACCCCGGGACTCGGACCCGGCGTCCCGGCGTCCCGGTCCATTTTGGCTCGGCCCCCATGGAGGGGACCTTGGAGCCCCAGACGCCTGACCTGCGGGACGTGGAGGGCAAGGTGGGCAGGAAGACCCCGGAGGGGCTGCTCCGCGGGCTGCGGGGCGAATGCGAGCCGGGGCCCCGCGGCTCCCCGCCGCCCCCGGGGGCGCCGGGCCCCGACACCGGCCTGGGGGACAAGATCACGGCCCTGAGGATGGAGCTGGTGAGTGTGGGTGTCCCGGGCCGAGACCCCCCCCCCCCCAAGCGGGCAGGACGTCCAAGACTCCCAGACTCCACAGGACCCCCCAAAAAAACCAGTCCATAGACCTGGGGTGCAAGGGGCGTGACGCCGGGTAATTGTCCCTCAAGGCTGAGCGAAGGGTTGAGGGGTCCTGGGCAAGTTTTTCCTACCGGATCCCGCGGAGGAGCGAGGCGGGCGCGGCCAAGTGCGGGGAACCCCGCGCCCCCCACCCCCCGCCGCCCCCCGAGCCACCCAGGCCTCCAGGTGCGTGTTTGCCTCCTCCAAACCGTGCCCCGGGCACGTCCATCACAGGATTTGAGTGGGGGCCTACCCGCTGGGGTTGGGGCTCTGAGGTCAGCTCCCTTTCCTCCCCGCGCCCCGCCCGCCCCGCCCCCACACTCCAAATACTGGAATGTCGAGGCCCGGGGCCGGGGCCGGAGAGCAGAGAGGCTGCGCCCTGCTCGGTGTTGAACCTGCCCTGGGTCGCAGCCGCCTCCGGGGGACCTCCCAACATACTATTTGGATCTTAGCTGTCACCTTTTGGGGAGATGAGGATGAAACAGCAGCCCCCACCCCCTTCCCTGAAACTGTTGATCTAGATTCAGAGCCAAAAGGCCAGCTGGGGCCCAGGCGAGGCTCCCCAGGGCCCTGGTTCCCATGAAAGGGGTGATTTACACCTGCCACCCTTTATCGGCAGCCAGTTCTGAGGAATTGGCAGCATCGTCTTGGCTCAGGAACTAGGAGCCCACAGTGAGTATGGCCGTTATACATCTTCCTGGAGTCCCACTGTGTGCCCAGCACTGTGCCAAGCTGGTCTGGAAGTGAGTGAGAAGAGGAAGGAGGTCATGGCTGAGGCCCAGCCCAGCCCAGCCCAGCCCAGGGCTTTTACTGGCTTGGAGGGGAGGCCCGGAGCCTCCTGGGGCTAAGTAATCAGGAAGGCTCCCTGGGGCAGGACTTGAATGCCAAATGTGCACTGGCCTTGAAGGTTAGAGGCCAGTGCCAACTCCTCCAGAGCAAGGATATGACTGTAGCCACCTCAGAAAGGGCTTGATTTTTGCTTCATTATATCAGCTTTATAATTCAAGAACTTACCTAGTCTACCCTGTTTAGAAACCATATAGATATTTTTTGAGATAGTCTTACTATGGAAGTTAGGCCAGTCTCCAACTCATAATTCTCTTGCCCCAGCTTCCAAGAGCTGGGATTAACAGGTGTGTGTCACCACCATGAAAACTTTTATTGAGCACATATGCCAGGCAGCATACTGAACATTTTTTTTTTCCTGTGCTGGGTTTTAAACGCAGGGTCTTCCACATGGCTAGGCAAATACTATAACTGAACTCTGTCCTACAGCCCTACATGACATTCTGTTAATCCTTACAGCAACCCTAATAGAGAAGTGATAAAGAAATTAAGACACTGAGGAGTTAAGTAATTGCTTGTCATTCAGAAGGTGAAAGGCAAAGGCAGGATTTGAAGCCAGATCATTTGACTACATTTTACTTTTTTTTTTTTTTTTAATCAGTCATAGGGCTTGAACTCTGGGCCTGGGTGCTGTCCCTGAGTTCTTCAGCTCAAGGCGAGAGCTCTACCACTTGAGCCACAGCACCACTTCTGGTTTTCTGGTGGTGAATTGGAAATAAGAGACTCACCAAGGGCTGGGAATGTGGCTTAGTGGTAGAGTACTTGCCTAGCATGCATGAAGCACTTGGTTCGATTCCTCAGTACCACATAAACAGAAAAAGTCAGAAGGGGTACTGTGGCTCAAGTAATAGAGTGTTAACCTTGAGCAAAAGAAGCTCAGGGACATGGGCTAGGAAGGTGGCTCAGTGATAGAGTGCTTGCCTTGCATGCCTGAGGCCCTGGGTTCGATTCCTCAGCACCACATAAGCAAAAAGAAAAAAGCCAGAAGTGGCGCTGTGGCTCAAGTGGTAGAGCGCTATCCTTGAGCTGAAGAGCTGAGGGACAGTGCCCAGACCCAGAGTTCAGGCCCCATAACCAGAACCCCCCCCCCCCCAAAAAAAAAAAAAGCTCAGGGACAGTCCCCGGACCCTGAGTTCAAGCCCCAGGACTGCCAAAAAGAAAAAAAAAAAACCAAAATATTCTCTGGGGCTGGGGGTTTAGCCCAGCGGAAGGGCACTTGCCTAGCGCGCGCAAGGCCCTGGGTTCGGTCCTCAGCCCTGGAAAAAAAAAGAGTCTCACCAACTTTTCTGCCTGGGCTGGCCTTGAACCTCAATCCTCAGATCTCAGCCTCCTGAATAGCTAGGATTACAGGTGAGCCACCGGTCACTTTATAGCCAGGTACTGTTGGCTCATTCTTGTAATCCTAGCTACTCAGGAGGCTGAGATCTGAGGATCAAAGCCAGCCCTGGCAGAAAAGTCCTCATGAGATTCTTATCTCCAATTAACCACTCAAAAACTGGAAGTGGCACTTGGGCTTAAAGTGGGAAACAAAGTGGTAGAGCACACTAGCCTTGAGCAGAAAGAGCTCAGGGACAATGCCCAAGCCCTGCATTCAAGACCCACAAAAGACCAAAAAATTTTTTTTTACTTTGTGCTAGTCACTTGGAACACATTTACGTCATTGAAATGAGAAAATGGTCATCATTTGTCCTATATCACAGATGAAACCAGCTATTGCATGCTCAAAGACTTGCCTGTACTCACACTCTGGTCTTCACTATTCTGCCTTGGTTGAGACTACTTACTGATAAACTTCAAAGGGGTTCATCTAACTTTTTATTTTGTTTCTGTATTATAGACCCATCTGGCCTTAGGCCTAAGGCTGGCCAGGAAAAGCACAAGGGAGGGAGATTTTGGGGTCCAGTACAAGGAAAGATTCCCTACCCTAATCCTTTCTTTTTTTTCTCTTTAAGGCAGGCTGTCCCACTGGTTGCCCCTAAGAAGCACAAGGGGTGGGGCTAGAGATTTCCCTTGGAGCCACTGGAGGCAAGATAGGTTTAAGCCTTCTAAGGACTGTCCTCTTCCGTTCTTCTAGTTGGAAGGAGAAGCCCTGTCCTTGAGACCAAGGTGGGCCCTACCTATAGGCCTGCTCTTCTGCTTTGCTCCCCTGGAGAGCCAGATTCTGGAATATGTGGGAGTGGGAAACAATGCAACTTCCCCTCCTCAGTTTTCCACCAAAAGTTGCTGTTGCTATGACAACCCGCCTCCTCTGAGCTGTTTGCTGAACCAGCATTAGGCAAAGAGTGAGGAAAGGGCTTGAGTTCAAATCTTGTCTTGGCTACTAAAGCATTTTGTGATCTTGAGAGCAGTGCCCTTTTTCTCTTTCCTGGCTTCAGATTTTGTTTCTTTGTGTTTTTGTTTTTTTTGACCCAGATGATCTGTGAGAACTTTTCTAGTGACAGTACTCTAAGGAGCTTGGTCCATTACCAGGGATCTAAAACTGTGATCTCCAGGCCTTTACTCTGAGCCTAATTTGTTCTGAACAGTGAGGGAGTCGTGTCCAGCATCCCAGGGCTGGCCAGAGTCTGATAGGCATATCTCATCACTAAATCCCCAGAGATGAGAATTGGATTGCGATGCCTCTGAGACTGAGTCTCTCCTGAGATGTTTATTTCCTATTTTGTTTCCAAAGAGATGGTGTGGAATGAGTGTTTCTTTTTCTGGTGAGAAAACCTTGTTTTCTTCTATTCTGGGCTGTGATGCTGTCACAGTCACGGAATCCCACTGACACAGGATTATAGAATCTGGTGCTCAGATCCATTTCCTAGCAACACAGGACAGCCTAGCTCCCTAACCCCAGGGGAACCACAAGAAAGGCCAGAAAATAAAGGCAAGAGATCATGTGATTTACATAACCCTAGGCAAAGCACCGAAAACAACAAGGCAGGACCTGTTCTCAGGGAACTTGTACCCTAGGTTAGGGAAGGAACAGACTAACAACTCTAGTTCAAGATGAGAAGTACTGTGGAACCAAAGACCTCCAACAAGTCTTTGTGTGTGTGGGGGGGAAGGGGTGAAGTCCTGGGGCTTGAACTGAGAGCCTAGATACTGTCCCTAAGTTTCTTTCACTCAAGGCTAGCACTCTACCACTTGAGCCACAGCTTTTTGGGGTAGTTTATTAGTCTCATGGGCTTTCCTGCCTGGGCTGATTTCAAACCTCCCTCCTCAGATTTCAGCTTCTTACATAGCTAGGTTTACAACTATGAGCCACTGGCTCTTGACTTTCTCTCTGGTATCTTTAAGTAGTTGTACAAATGGGTTTTAATTCAACATGTGTTTGAGTACAGTGCATCTTTATCAATGTTACCCCTTCCATCACCCCATCTCCCCATCTGGCCCATCCTACCCAGCCTCTCAAGTTACCTGGTTCCATTTTCACATATGTACATTGAATATGAAGAGCCTTAGCCAGGCACTGGTGGCTCACAGTTGCAATCCTACGTACTCAGGAGACTGAGATCTAAGGATTATGATATGAAACTAGGGGAGACAAATCCATGAGACTCTTAGCTCCAATGAACCAGCAAAAAAAAACTATAAGTGGAGCTGTGGCTCAAATGGTAGACCCCCAGTCTTGGATAAAAAAGCTAAGGGATAATGCCCTGGCTCTGAATTCAAGCCCCAGTACTGACATTAAATAAATGAAATAATAAAATAAAAAATGATGTGTGGCAGTACTCATAGTCACAGAAATGTACTAGAGGGGAAGCCAGAGAGAGGAACAGGAGGCATACAGTGATAGGCTTCTGAATGGCAGCCAGTAAATGTTTAGATTGATTTTATTCTCTTAAGAACAGAGTAAAGCTTGTAAAGGCCCTGGAGTACTGGACAGGTTCAGACTTGTGCTTGAAGAAGGTAACTCAGCCAGTCCACGCTGTGGGGAGGGGGGGAGGACAGGACCCTGGAGATTACCTTGTGAAGAAAACTTCCTTCCAGTACATACAGGAAGGCTGCTGTAAGGTGGGGGAAAGCCCTGAATCCCAGCCATTGAGATTCTTTGTGTCTCTCGCCATTGCTTCACTCAGTCTTGCTACAACCCCTATGAAGAGTAGAAAACCAGGTTAGCACCCTTTTTCAGTCTCAGCTCCCACCTCATTTTTTCCCCCGACTCATGAGCCTGGGTGCTATTCCTGAACTCTTCAGTTCAAGGTGAGTGCTCTACTACTTGAGCCACAGCACCACTTCCAGTTTTCTGGTTAATTGGAGATAAGAATCTCACGGACTTGGGCTGGGAAGGTGGCTTAGTGGTAGAGCGCTTGCCTTGCATGCATGAGGCCCTGGGTTCGATTCCTCAAGACCACATAAGAAAAAACCCGGAAGTGGCACTGTGGCTCAAGTGGTAGAGTGCTAGTCTTGAGCTGAAGAGCTGAGGGACAGTGCCCAGGCCCAGAGTTCAGGTCCCACAACCAAACCCCCCCCCCCCCCAAAAAAAAAAAAAAAAAGAATCTCACGGACTTTTCTGCTCAGGCTGGCTTTGAACCAAGATCCTCAGATCTCAGCCTCCTGCGTAGTTAGGATTACAGGTGTGAGCCACCAGTGCCTGGATACCCTGGGCTTTATTCATTTAATAATGAATGGGGGCTTGACCTCAGAGCCTGGGCACTGTCCCTGAGCTTCTTTTGCTCAAGGCTAGCATTCTACCAATTGAGCCACAGCAGCACTTCTGGCTTTTTCTGCTTATATGGTACTGAGGAATCCAACCAAGGGCTTCATGCATGCAAGGCAAGTACTCTACCACTAAGCCACATTCCCAGCCTACCCTGGTTTTTGTTGTTGTTGTAGTTGTTGGATGTGGGGCTTGAACTCTGGGCCTGGGTGCTGTCCCTCAGCTCTTCAGCTTTGAAGATTGCACTTTGAAGATCGGCTTTGAACCATGATCCTCAGATCTCAGCCTCCTGAGTAGCTAGGATTACAGGTGTGAGCCACCGGTGCACGGCTACCCTGGGTTTTAATACATAATATTTCCTAAGACCTTTCTGTGCTAAGGGTATAAAAGGCACAATTTTGCTGTTGCCTTCTGAGGGGAGTGATTTAGTCCTATTTTACAATTAAGGAAACTGAGTTAAGGTAAAATACCACTGGCACTGGTGGCTCATGCCTATAATCCTAGCTACTCAGAAGGCTGAGAGATACGAGGATTCAGGTTGGAATCCATCCTAGGCAGGAAAGTCTGTGAGATTCTTTTTTTTTTTTTTTTGTCGGTTGTGCGGCTTGAACTCTGGGCCTGGGCGCTGCCCCTCAGCTCTTCAGCTCGAGGCAAGCACTCTACTACTGGAGCCACAGTGTCACTTCCAGTTTTCTGGTGGTTTATTGAAGATAAGAGTCTCATGGACTTCCCTGCTGGCTTTGAACCATAAGTTTCAGCTCTCAATTTCCTGAGTAGCTAGGATTATAGGTGTGAGCCACTGGTGCCTGGCTTCTGTGAGACTCTTATCTCCAGTTAAAGACTAAAAAGCCAAAGTAGAGCTGTGGCTGAAGTGGTATATTGCTAGCCTTGAGTAAAAAAGCTAAGGGACCATCTAGGAATGGGGCTTAGTGGTAGAGTACTTGCCTAGCATGCATGAAGCCCTAGGTTCCTCAGTACACCTAAACAGAAAAAGTCAGAAGTGTGGCTTAAGTGATAGAATGCTGGCCTTGAGCAAAAGAAGCTCAGGGATAGTGCCCAGACCTTGAGTTCAAAGTCCTGTACCAACACCAATACACACACACAAACACACACACACAAGGTAAGATACCTACCCACAATCATATCATATATATAGCTAACCAATAAAAAAGCTTATTTTATAAAAATTTGGCAGTGTGGGCCTCAAACATGCTAAGCAGGTGCTCTGTTAATAAACAACATGGCCAACCCAAGCTGAAATTTTAAATAGCAGTCCATCTGCTTCTAAAGCTCACACTCCAAATCATTCTATTTCCATGCTTCTTAAAAGTAAAGCATGGTTCGATTACAAATTTGGGGCTCAAGAAACACAAGGGAAATCCAGAACCTAGAACTGGGACTAAATGTCTATTTCCCACTCCCCCAGGCTTACCTGCGAGTCATCGATGTGAAAATCCTGCAGCAGCTGGTGACGTTGAACGAGGGTATCGAGGCCGTGCGCTGGCTGTTGGAGGAGCGGGGGATGTTGACCAGCCATTGCAGTAGCCTCACCAGCAGCCAGTATAGCCTGACAGGCGGGAGCCCAGGCCGCTCAAGGCGAGGCAGCTGGGATAGCCTGCCAGACACCAATTCCACTGACCGGCTGGACAGTGTCTCTATTGGCAGCTTCTTGGACACCGTGGCCCCCAGAGAGCTGGATGAACAAGGTCCCCCTGGGGCTCCCTGTCCTGAGATGGACTGGGCAAAGGTCATACCGGGTGAAGAGAGGGCCAGGACTGAGGTGGACCTGACAGCCACCAAACTAGGGAGCTTGAGGGCTGTGTGGAAGCCCTCAGGGGAGGGGTTCCCAGGTGGACCACTGGAACCACCAGAGGATGAGTGCACTGATCTGGGTTTTGAGGCCCACTGGTACTGGGGACAGGCCCAGGATGATGTGACCTTCTTATAACAACTTTATCCTCATCTGTCATCCCTAGGCCTTGGTCATCCACAAAAATGTCCTTTAATGTGGGATGAAGATAGGTTGCCCTGTGATCGATTACCATGGGAATTCTACCATTTCTTTGGTCCCTAGGGAGTCTCTGCCTTTATCTCTTAATCATTGAGTCCCCAGAACTATTTCCATAGAGACACTGAGACCTGTGGCTCTTGGTGGGAGGGTATCTCCACACCCCTTTGCCAACGAGGTAAGGATCTGAGGAATTTAGGACCTCCCCCCCAGGGTATTGCCAATGAAGAAATGAGGGTGAATGATCACCACATTCAAAGCCCAGGAGGAGCCTTGGCTTCCTCCTAACCAAGATGGAGGATTAAAGAGGGACTTGGCATTCAGGACAACTTCCATGGATTGGAACTCCTTTAAAGTCTTTGGAGTTGTAGGCCCATACCTTCCTAGTCACCGAGTGATGTCATTTCCTGCCAGGATGGACTACTGCTTCCTCTATTGGGTATCTGGATGGGATATGATAGGTCAGTTATAGAGGGGTGTGAGTTCCTGCCAAGACCACATCACCCAAAGTCTGTACCATTACTTCTTGTGAAGTATCACCCCTCTTGGCAGATTAGTTCCATACTGGAAGGTTTCCGTGCTGCTTTGCAGCACATTCTTACTTTTTAAAGAGTGTTCCTATTTTCCCCCGGGTCTTACTTCCTTATCCTCGTGTTTTTAGGAAGTGAAACTGTCAGAGGCTTCCAAATTTCTTTTTTTTGGGGGGGGAGGGGTCCGGTCGTGGGGCCTGAACTCTGGGCCTGGGCGCTGTCCCTCAGCTCTTCAGCTCAAGGCAAGTGCTCTACCACTTGAGCCACAGCGCCACTTCCGGTTTTCTAGTGGTTTATTGGAGATAAGAGTCTCAGGGACTTTCCTGCCCCGGCTGGCTTTGAACCTCGATCCTCACATCTCAGCCTCCTGAATAGCTAGGATTACAGGCGTGAGCCACCAGCACCCGGCCCAAGTTTCTTAAGTATACTTGGCTCACTCTACCACAGGCCTGGCTTCCCCTGTCCTGGGTGCCCCCCCATTGCTGTTCCCTGACTCAATATCTGCCTATGGGGATTTCTAGTTTCTCTGTCACCACACCTGGTTAATGGCTTCTCTAGGCATCATGTCTTCTTACCCACTGTTGTGGGGAGCTGGGGAGGGAACTCCTGGAGATCAGCTGGTACACCAGAACCTTGGCTGGTGGGAGCTATTGTCTTTTCTGAGTCCTGTCCCCACCCTGTCCCGCCTTTCACCACTTGGTCATGAGGATGCCTGCCAGAGGCTGGGATACAAGGAATCCCCTTGTCCAAGCTACAATGTGGGGGCGTGGCAGGAAAAGACAGAGGCTCTTTGGTCCCTGGGCCTTATCCTAGGAGTGGGGGGGGGGGGGGGGGGGAGGGACAAGGGAAAGCCAGTCTTCCTTCCTGCCTTCCTGCCTTCTTTCCTTCCTTCCTTTTTTCCCCTCCCTCTCTCCCTCTTCTTTTCTCTGGGACCTGAGAAGGGAGCAGAAGAAGACAGGTTCTAGAGCTGTGGCCCAGGCTCCTAGCTAATTACAGCAAAGAAGAAACTGGGAATCTGCCAGCCAGGCTCAGGGAGAGAACCAGACCAGAGAGGGGTGGGTGCAGGGGAAGAGAGCAGTGGCTGATGACAATGAATTCCTGAAGATTAACTCTTTGTTGTTGTTGGTTTTTTTTGGGTCCAGTAGTGGGGCCTGAACTCTGGGCCTGGGCACTGTCCCTCAGCTCTTCAGCTCAAGGCTAGCACTCTACCACTTGAGCCACAGCGCCACTTCCGGCTTTTTTCTTTTTGCTTATGTGGTGCTGAGGAATCGAACCCAGGGCCTCATGCGTGCAAGGCAAGCGCTCTACCACTGAGCCATCTTCCCAGCCCGAAGATTAGCTCTGAACTCTAGGATACTGCCTCATGCATTGGCTCTTGTCTCATAGGCCCTGAAATTAGATTATTGGAGGGAAGGAAGGAGGGGAAAAGGGTGATCTTTGGCTACTAGGTGTTGCCCACCTGTTCTCTAAATCCTGGAGTAATTCTTGTCATTTCTCTGCCTTTCAGTCCATGTTAGGGATGGAAAGGAAGCCAAGTTCATTGTGAGTTTTACCTCCCCTGAATTCAAGTGTTTTGCAACTCTACCCAATTTTTCAGCAATAAGTTCAGCTCATGGCTCTCGGCTAAAAACCCTCCCACCTGCCATTTTCCCTTAAAGTGATTACAGTCTCTTCCAGCATCTTCTCTGCTACTACTGAACCTCTCCTTGCCTCTCCTCATGGTTCTGGCGGCTCCTGACTTCCTCTCAGCCTGGGATTTCCAATATTGTATTCCAATCCCTACTCTAGCCATTTTGTAGTGTGCCCTTGCTTAACCATCTACCTTCCTCTCGTCTCTGAGACATCATTATATGTTCTTTTTCTTTTTTTTTCTGATTAAAAAAAAATTACTGTTTAAGCTGGCCTGCTTGGCCTCGGAGTGCTGAGACATTCATATTCTTTAAAAAAAATAATAACAGGAGGGAAAAATGAGAAAAAGAAACATTTCCTGCTTCCCATGCAGGACTCCATCATAATCCTTTTTCAAACTTGCTTCTTTATGTAATCTATAAACTTCTGAGTTGAAGTATTTGTCTGCCCTCTTGTGGCCAATGTGCGATATTGCCAGAGTTTCTGGATTGAGCCTCCAAATTTAGGGTAGCCTTCCAGTCCTGAGTGCGCAAACAGCTAGAGAGGGCATAGATTTGTCTTGTGCCACCCATTGTTAAGCTAACAATGCACAGTTCAGAGGACCAGTTACCTGTCATATACCCATGCCTCCATTACTTGGCCACACTGTTCCCAGCCAGTAATTAAAAACAAAGCCCTAGCTAGGTGCTGGTGGCTCCTGTAATCCTAGCTATTCAGGAGGCTGAGCTCTGAGGATTGCAGTTCAAAGCCAGCAGGGGCAGAAACGTCCCTGTGAGACTCTTTTCTCCAAATAATCACTCAAAAGCCAGAAGTAGAGCCGGGCGCTGGTGGCTCACGCCTGTAATCCTAGCTACTCAGGAGGCTGAGATCTGAGGATCGCGGTTCAAAGCCAACCCGGGCAGGAGAGACCGTGAGACTCCTATCTCCAATAAACCACCAGAAAACCGGAAGTGGCGCTGTAGCTCAAGTGGTAGAGTGCTCGCCTTGAGCTGAAGAGCTGAGGGACAGCGCCCAGGCCCATTGTTCAAGCCCCACGACCGACAAAAAAAAAAAAAAAAAGCCAGAAGTGGTGCATAGCTCAAAGTGATAGAGCACTAGCCTTGAGCAAAAGAGCTCAAGGATAGCTCCCAGGTCATGAGTTCAAGCCCAACATCTGACCAAAAGAAAAAAAAAGCCCAAAGAAACTGAAAGATATGTTCCCTGTTACAATGTTTGAGTCCTTACCCCATTCCTGGGCTTTCTCTAAAGACAGCTGCAGGCCCTGTGGAAGGAACAATGGATCTCAGAGTGCACTAGTAGGCATCATGTGAACAACCCTGTTTTCTGGGATGTTATGGGAACAGCTCATCATTTCAACCTGGAGGTTAGTAGTGAGGGCAGAGTAGGGAGCTGTGAAATTAGGAAAACCAGATGGATCTTGCAGAGATGGAGTACAGGTCATGGTTAAGAGGCACTTGAGAGCGCTGAGAGGCTGGAGAGGTGGGCTGGGCTGGATAAGGCTGCCTGCAAACTCCAGGTCTTTTTTTGTGCCAGTCCTGGTGCTTAAACTCAGGGCCTTGGTGCTGTTCCTGAGCTGTTCTGCTCAAGGCTAGCTCTCTAGCGCTTGAGCACCGGCTCCACTTCTGGCTTTTTTTTTTTTTTTTAAGTTATTTGGAGATAACAATCTCACAGACTTTCTGTCTGGGCTGGCTTGGAACTGCAGTTCTTAGATCTCAGCCTCTTGAGTATCTAGGATTGCAGGTGTGAGCCACTGGCGCTCAGCCTGGGTATTCTTAATACCTTAGTTTCCAGTTTGCTGCCAGAGAAGTCCAGGAGCATGAATTAAACATAATCTATGGTTCCCCCTTCTTGGCCTATAGGCTGAGCTGTCAGGGAGCTCAGAGAAGAAGAAAAGGGGGGTGAGAGCAAGAGATAAGAAAATGAGCAGAACATGCAGGTTGTTCTCCAAGTATACTGGTCCTTTGTTGGGGCTCAGGGCAAAGGCAGAGATGAGACTATACATGGTACCTGCAGAAACAGCACCTGGAAGAGCCAGGGTTGGGACTGGTCAGAGGGGCCATCAAGGAGACACAAGACTATGTTTTTGTTTTTGGGTCTGGTCATGGGGCCTGAACTCTGGGCCTGGGCGCTGTCCCTCAGCTCTTCAGCTCAAGGCTAGTGCTCTACCACTTGAGCCACAGCGCCACTTCCGGCTTTTTTCTTATGTGGTGCTGAGGAATTGAACCCAGGGCCTCGAGCATGCAAGGCAAGTGCTCTACCACTGAGCCACCTTCCCAGCCCCAAGACACAAGACTATGGAAGTGGCAGGTGTGTAAAGGTGAAGTTGAATACTAGGCTGACTGGAAGTTTGGTGGCAGTTTCAATGAGAAATGCCAGGGGTGTGGACAGAAGCTCATTGTTTATGGTGCCAGGCATACCCTGAGTATTCAATTACACCTGTTCTAAGAATGGAAGAATGAATGTGTGTCAACATTCATCAACCAACATCAAGTTAGTTGTTTGTTTATATATTAGGCATTTTAAAACACAATTCCTAGCAGTCATATAAATAGTGCATTACCAATGTGTTGTTATCTAGAACTTTGTTCAAGGTTAGGTAGTTAACCAGCCATAATAGGAATCCAGGTCACTAACTTCAAGACGTTCCAGGAAGTCATTTGTAATTTCTTGAACCCCACCTACCATACTCACATATACCTTACCCTCCCAGGAGATTGTTAGGTCTACTCAGCCCCAGAGACAATATATTAGTTTCTTGTTGCAGTTATAATGAATTACCTACCACAAAGCTTGTGGCTTAAAAACCAGTTATACTAGATGTGGTTGTGTATATTTGTAATCACAGCCTGGACTGATCAGAGTTC